CAACCTCAATGTCTCTTTTTGTTTGTTTGTTTGTTTGTTTGTACATACATGTTACAAATGCTATTAAAAATAAAGCCCCAGTTAAGTGCACGGCCCCCAAGGGAGCACTTGCTGAGCCTGACCTTGGTTCGAGATGCTCCACAACGAGGACACCACGTCCTGTTTTAAGGCATTTCCAAGCCCCAGCAAAAGCAGACAGAGTTTTTTTGTTTGTTTGTTTTTTGTTTAGCTGTTGGGTGGTTGTAATTTTCTTTTGCAGTGACCCCTGGCTTCGTTTGGAGTGGCATTCGAGAGAAAATGAGCAGCTTCCTCTGCACGTGCCCCCTGTCCCCCCCTCTGGAGCTGGAGGATCCAGCCCTGTCTCAGCAATGCCCAGCTGGAAATTCCCCCCTTCTCAAAATTCACGGATTTGGGGGGGGGTCTCACACCTCCCTCTCCCCCTTCCAGGGCACAGCAATCCCCCCCAGGACCCACGGTTTATATACAGCAGCCACTTAAAATGTGGTTTTTGGCACACACACACACACACACAGAGCAGTCTCCATCCCACAGAGGGCACAGCCCCCCTCTGTGGAATATTTAACCCCTGGATTTGCAGAGGAATGTCACAGATTGGGGATTGGGAGGGTGGGGAGGGGGGGGGGATAGTTTTCTTTCAATCAAATAAAAAGAAATAAAAAAACCCCAAGTGGTTTTTACACACGTTCTTCCCCTTTGTTCAGAGCTCACCCTGAGGAAAAGGCCTTTGACCTGGTGTGGCTCAAAACCTGAGTGCCAAGAAACACCATTTTTAAAAGGTGTGCTGGAAGTTGGAAGGTGAAACCGCAAAATGATGGCACTTCGGGTCTTAATTAACACTCATTAATTAATATTAATGATCCTTCAGGTTCGTCCTGTACACTCCACAAAGCTGTTTTTCACACAGAGCTGCCACCTCAGGGCGGGGAAGGGATGTGGATGCTCCACAGCATCATGAAATCCTTCCCATGGAGAAGGAACTCGAAGGGAGAGGGTTGTTTCCTTCGGAGCTGTGATCCACTGGCTCTTCTCCTGCTCCCAGGAGATCCAAGATCCGCAGGCAAAACGTGTGCTGGGTGACAGACACTCACAAACACGCACCGTCCACTCACAAACACACGGGCTGGCTTTGTCACTGGCACTAAAACATTTGCTTTCAAGGAAGAAAACACCTAAAAATCCCCTCCCCACCCCCCAGAAACACTCCAGTCCCGACTCGTGCCCCGTTCCCATTCCCGCTGGAGCTGTTCCTGCTGGGCTGGCAGCGTCCAGAGGAGCTTTGATCACGGCGTGGAAGACCCTGGGCATTGCAAAAAAACTTGAATCCAAGGTGGAAACTCCGAATTCTCTTCGTGGGAGAGGCTCCAGTGCCAGCTCTGCATTCCCAGGCTGGCAGAGCGTCCGAGGGCAAAGTCATGCCCCAGAGGCTGGAAAATGGACGTGGGTCATGGAAGGACACATCCAACAGGTCTTTTAAAAGCGAAGAGGGACCCAGTCCCTGTGCCCTCCCAGCCTGTTTGGTGGTGCTGGAAGAAGGGGGAGCACTTCCAGCCCTTGGAGAGGAGCTCCAAGTTATCCCCGGCGCGCGGGAGGGCAAGGCTTGGTGGGCAGAAGCTCTTGGGAAGAGCAGCCAAGGGCAAACAGGTGGTTGGGACACGTCTGGATGAACACAAAGCGTTGGAAATGAGGTTTCACAGCTGCTTCTGCACATGTCCAAGAGGAGGAGGAGGTGGAGGAGGAGGACGAGGAGGAGAACCAACAGAGAAAATCAACGTTTCCCCCCCAGCACCTCTCAGTCCAGCAAACAGTCATAAGACAACCAAAGAGCAATGCTTTCCTGCCTGCTCAGAGCAGGCCTTGGTCTCTCTTCCAGTGCATGGCATCCCTGATTTTAACAGAGCATGAAGGAGAAAAGCACTTGAGATTCTTACACACATAAATTAGAGCGAGAGGAAGGAGGGGGGGGAGGAGGGAGGTCGGGTGAGCACAGGGCCAGGGGAAGGCTTGGCAGAGCCAGACCCCGAAGCAGGGGTGGCAATTCCCACCTCCCTGCTCAGCCAGCACTGCAGAGGGGACGTTGGGGCCGGGCAGTGAATCCATGAAGGCCACAGGTCTCGCCAGCACCAGCATCTTTTCCCTGCCGTGGGCACGGACGACAACCCAAGAACACAAGTGAGGAGGGGGGAAAAACAACCCCCCCAAAAAAAGAAGCTTCAAGTATGAAGAAGATTTACAGCGTGATGGGCAAGTTCTTCTGTCACTTCTTGGAGACTTGGTTCAAGGTTTGTTCTTCGTTGCTGCTGTTTGATTCGAGTTCTGCCTGACCTGGATAGGCTGCAACCGAACGGATAACCCGAAAGAAAAAGGGTGTCTCCTCCTCCCCTCCCTTTTTCCCCCCTTCCCTCCCTCTTCCCCCCCCCCAAAAATATAAAAAGCAATAAGTTTACAAAAATAGAAAATAATTACAGCAATAGGCAGGAGGGAGGGAAGGAGGAGGGAGGGTCTCTGGGGGTCTATTTGGCCGAGCAGTGTAATATCCTGGGGTTGTTTAAAGCGTCCTCCACCAGGTGCAGTTCTTGGCGGTCCACAAGGACATCCCGTATGCAGCCAACGAAGCCGGTGCTGTAGGCCTTGGGCAGCTTGTGAGCCACACTCAGCTTCTCCAGCCCCCCTGCAGGAGACACACAGAGCTCAGGGCACGGGGCAGGGGGCAGCCAGACTGTCCTCGGCAGTGTCACACCCCCCCGCACACACCGGCACCGCTGGGAACGTCTCAGGAGGGAACTGGGGGGGATTTCTTCCTGGAAAAGGGTTGTTAAACACTGCAAGGGGCTGCCCAGGGTGGTGGTGGAATGCCCATCCCTGGAGGTGTTCAAGGGACAACTGGATGTGGCGCTCAGTGCTCTGGGCTGGATCCCAGGTGGGGATGGGTCACAGGTTGGACTCGACCTCAGAGGTCTGTTCCAACCTCAGCCACTCTGTGAATGTCTTCCCAAGAGCAGGGAGAAACCTCTTTCCTGGCTAATAGTAAGTATGAATTCGTCAGTCAGTTAAATTAATTAGTTTTATGAAAATAAACAGTAGTTATCTTCACTTAGCTCAGTCGTGCCAGTTCCAACCACTGCCTGCAGGTTTCCTGAAGACACTTCAACCAGCGACTCGTTTCTATGGGTATTTCTATTCTCCAGCTATTTTTGTTCTAAAACACACATTTCAACTCAAAAGTTTCCTTCCCCTTGGGGATTGGTCCCAAATCCAAACTGAATTTTAGTTCAGTTACTGCAACATCAACTCTGGGCTCATTACACAGGAAATACATTGGAATTACGAGGGGCTGATTGCAAACACAACTTTTGGAGGGGCCAGTGGGGAAGCCAAGCAAAAATCTCTCATGGACTAATTCTGCTTTGCACATAAACTTCCAGGCTGATTTCAGAAGGAGAAATGGCCCCCAGGATCCTCTCTTTTTCACAGGCAAGGCAACATTTTTGAATATGAACTCCTTGGGAGTAAGGTTAGACCTGAACTACAGGCTTAGACTGGGGAGATAACAAAGATGCTTCCAAAAAGTGTAAATGGAATCTAAGTCCATTTTTCCCTGTCAGGGTGGTGAGGCCCTGGCACAGGTTGCCCAGAGAAGCTGTGGCTGCCCCATCCCTGGAGGTGTCCAAGGCCAGGTTGGACGGGGCTTGGAGCAACCTGGGACAGTGGAAGGTGTCCCTGCCCATGGTAGGGGGTGGAACAATATGAGCTTTAAGGTCCCTTCCAACCCAAACCATTCTGTGATTCTGTGATTCTAATTCACTGTTTTTTCCAGGCCAGCCAATGGCTCTCCTCAGGGCACACTGTGCCATGGGAAGGACTGGCATTGGTGGGTAAAGCCAACCCCTCATCCCTCAGTGTCACCACCACCCTGCCCTGGTAGGCAGAGAACAAGCAGGGGAATTTTTCGGTCACCTGGGAGACAAAGGTGTCATGTTGAAGGAAGGCAGGGAGCATCCCCACCCCATTCCACCTCTGAATCCCTCAGCAAGGGGCACAGGAGATGCTCACCCTGCCCACACCAACTCACCCAGCCACAGGGCCCCGTCTGTGTCCAGCTGGGTTGCACCAAGTGGAGAAGAACCAGCGATGGGAGCTTCGTTCCCAACCTGGAGGGAGCCTTCCCTCTGTACCCTGCTCCCAGAGGGAGGGAAGAAGGAACAGAAGATGATTAGAGGAAAAACCCAGAGGTGTTCCCTGCTTTGCACCAAACCCTGGCACTGGGCACCATCAGCCCTTCTCCAGCTGCAAAGGCAAGGGGAGCTGAGCCCTCCTCTCCATCTGGCTGTGGCACGGAGCAATCCTTGCTCCAGTGCTCCCCTCCAGCATCCCCATGGCCTCCCACAGCCCCCCCACCAGCCCTGCCAGCAGCCACACTCCCTCCAGAGCCACCAGCAGCAATCCCTGGCACGCCGGGCACATGATCCTCACCACTCCCACCACCACCAAAAATAACGAGGGGCAGCTCGGGCTCGACGCGGCCAGAATGTCAAACCCTCAAATAAAAGGCACAGACCTCCCAGGCCTCCTTGCTCCTGCCCCTCTGACATTTCCAGGCGTGCCCCAACACGCTGCCCTCTGCAGGGCACTGCCCACATGCCTCTCCTCTATTATTATCCGGGAGCAGGAGCGATCCTTGGGGATCACGGGGCGCCGTGACTCAGCTCGCCCGCCCCGCTCCCGCGTTTCCCTCCCTCCAGCCTTCCCCACCTGTAGGCTTTGATGTGGATCCACTGGTTGGTGTTGACTGGGACCGTGGATCTGAGGACGACTGGCTTGGAGCCCAGGTCGTAGGTCATCTGCACGAACCCATCCACGATGGCCAGGGCGATGTAGTCCGAGCGCTCCAGCCCCTTCCCGCTCCACAGGATCAGCCCCTGCGTGGCCTCTGTTTTGATGCTCAGCTCGAAGTGGTTGGACTGCAGGGCCTTCTCACTGCGTGGGGAGATGGGGGCAGAGTGAAAAACAAGGCAGCTCCTTGGAGCAGCCTTCTCTTCCCAGCCAGCTGGCTCACCTGCTGGGAGAACCTCCAGCCAGCTCCTGGCATCAGGCTACACGTGGGGTCTGTCCCTGCCTGAGGGGTTGGCAGGCTCTGGGGCATGAGAATGCCTGGGGTCTGTCCCTACCTGAGGGGTTACAGATTTTGAGATATCAGAATGCCTGGGGTCTGTCCTTACCTGAGGGGTCACAGATTTTGGGATATCAGATTGCCTGGGGTCTGTCCCTGCCTGAGGGGTCACAGATTTTGGGATATCAGAATGCCTGGGGTCTGTCCTTACCTGAGGGGTCACAGATTTTGGGATATCAGAATGCCTGGGGTCTGTCCCTGCCTGAGGGGTCACAGATTTTGGGATATCAGAATGCCTGGGGTCTGTCCTTACCTGAGGGGTC